CCACAACGCCCGGCTATTTTTTGGTTGCAGCCGTCATTGTTGTTTGGCCGGCCCGGGCTGGGGATTCGAACCCGCCACCTTGGGTGTACATGGCTGGCGCCTTAGCCACTTGAGCCACAGGCGCCGAGCCTCATTTCCATATTTTTATCATAAAGTATGTTGATATGTGCAGAAGAATATATATAATATAAATATAAATCATAGTAACTTATAATTTTAATAGTTGTAAGTACTGCTGTATAAACTCAATGAGTGCATTTGAAATGCCTTTAATAATGAATTTCCCAAGAGAAAACAATACTATTTTGGTAAATTGTATCCTATTCATACTTAGGTATCTTAACTGCACTTAAATTATTTGGAAGGAAGGAGGCAGGAGGGGGAAGCCAAGAGCCTTTCCTTAAATGATACACCTAACCTTTTAGATTCTACTTCTGTATAACTTTACTTCTCCACAATTTTACTTCTTCTAGCCCAGTGGCTCTTTATTCATCACTACAATCAACAAAACACAACTGTCCTATGCCTTGGGAATTATTTTTTCAGAGCAAATTGCAGGTATTGTACCAAAAGGTACTCATACTTGGGAGAAGTTTGTTTCACCTGAAAAGCTAGAGAGCATTCTGGAACCAAGTAAGTATTAAGAATAATTTTCCCAGTTTGCAAGTCCTGACTAACTGAACTTGTTCTAATCGCATGACCTGGCACTGAATTGAATAGGCCACTATTTTCTTTGGATGTTGGTTTTTCTCCTCATCTAGGTCATAGACTGCTGGAAGTTAGGGTGAAGTAGTAGATACCCTTCCCTCTCACGTGTGGCGCCTAACCCAGTGCTGAGCAAATGACAGATGATCAGTGAATACTTCTTGACTATTTAGTTCTCCCTTGTTTCAGGATGAGGTACAACAATTGTGTTATTTCTGCATCCTCAGTTTCCCCTATTAAACCCTGCTTTTAGCAGCTTATCTCACATACTGTTTTTCTTGATTCCTCTGTACTCAGGTATATGCTGAACTTCCAAGTATTTTATTATGTATGTATTATTTATGTCTTTTATTTTACTTACAGCATACCTTGTATTATGGTTATTTTCATTACCATAATAAAACACCAAAGGGTATTTTTTCACCCTTTAATGGCCTATAAGCTCCTTGAGGCAAGACTGTGTGTCTCCTCCTTCTATTCCCTGTACTGCCTGACTCTGCTGCATCCATAGTGAGCAATCCCCTTGCCTCAGCCTCCCGAGTAGCTTGGACTTTAGACATCTGCCACAATGCTGGCTAGTTTTTCTATTTTTAGTAGATTTGGGGTCTAGCTCTTGCTCAGGTTGGTCTCAAATGACTATGCTCAGGCAATCCACCCATCTCAGCCTCCCAGAGTGCTAGGATTCCAGGGATGAGCCACTACACTGGAAGTGACCCCACCTATGTGCTGAATTCCCATCTAGTAATAGTGTTTGTCAGCTCGTCTATTTGATATTCCTGTTGGATACTAAGACTCCTGTACTTCTCATCCTTTTAGTTCATAGAACAGTCTATCAAATTTGATTTTACTTGAAAACTCTAAAGTCCATAGCAATGTAGTAAGTTCTAAAGATTTTTGTGAGTAACTTTGTTGAAAACAGAATAGAAAATATTTTAAAGATACTTTATGGGGACAATCTCTTATTGGCAGGTATTGTCTAAAAACAGCTAACTTTTATTGATCACTTAGCAACTTCTAAGCTCTGTGCTCCCTGACACACACAGCTCATCAAATTCTAACAGCTCTGGTATATATTCTGTACATGTGAGAAAACCAAGATTTAGAAAGGTTAAATGACTTGCCCAAGTCACCATCTAAAATGTGCCAGAGCTGCAATTTGAACCCAGGTAGTCTCCTTTAGAGTTATGCGCTCTAATCTGCCCTAAAGTGTGATTCATAGATGGTTATAAAGCATTTTTTCCCATTAAGTTAGAAATCGTTTTTAATATGGAAATTTGCAAGAAACTCTTGGCACTTGGCAGGTGAATATTTCTTAAATCCCTCTTTCTGACATTTTTCAGATGGTCTGTCAGTTCAGACTGTGGCAGGAATGCTTTATAATCCCTTCTCCGGTTACTGGCATTGGAGTGAAAATACCAGCATTAACTATGCAGCTCATGCTGTGAAATCCAGGGTACAGGAACACCCAGTGCCTGCTGAATCTGTTCTAACAGAGGAAACAGAAGAGCTTCGAGCTAATGTCCACACCAGCCCAGGTGTGCACGAAGAACTGAAGAGATAAATTGTTTCTGGAGATTATAGTGATACGGCTTGAAAGTCTGTTGTTTACAAATACAATAATTTATCTACTAAGAATCATGAAGAAAAAGACAATAAAAAGGACTAAAAGCTTGAACAAAAGTTTTTATTATTTCATCTAATGGCTACTTTCAAGAGATAAAAAGTTGGATAAACAGTTTTTAAGTGGATAAAAAGTTTTACCCAGGTTTTGTGTGATCTAGGAGTTCCTCAAGCTTAAATATGTGCTGGATTTGGATTCAAACATTAACATCAAGAAGTTCAGATTATGTTGGATATGCTGGTA